GGAATACTGAAGGGTTTTGGATGCCAAATCAGGAAAAATCTGGGCGTTAGGAGAAGTCCAGGAAAAGCAGACTCAATGAGCAAGTTGTTCAGGTGAGTGGTCCTGCCAAATGTGCTGGAGAAGGGGATGAACACACAAAAATGTCACTTTGCTTCCCTGTTGTAAACTAAGGAAACTTTGAACGAGGCGGACGGAGTACAAGATTTAAAACATATGAATAGATCACACTCTCCAAAGAAAAAGTTTGTATACTTTCCTGGTGAAAGATTTGTAATAATTATTCAGGGAAATAGGGGTGTTTAAAGAACACAATTTTGCACTGAGTTTGTTGTACCCATTCTAGTGAGGACAGTGATCACAAAATAATTGAGAGGGGTCGTTTTGATCCTAAAACCCCAGAATCAAAGAAACGCTGTCAGTGGTTCGCATAACTTTGTGGTATTTTTCCATTTATTTTGTGACATCGTTCTTAAAGGTGTTGTGAAAGAGAACTTGGAACCTAGGGAACACGTGGAGACCCCAGGGCCCGAAAGAGAAGTAAAGTGATCTTGAGACATGAATTTCATGTCTCTTGTTTGAGACTGTCTGGAGAAGGAAGCCATTTTGGGGTGAAGGTTCTTATTCTGCTTTAGGAGCACTATTCTCATTCAAGGACTTTTGGGGGAGGTGTGTGAATAGGAGAAATCGGGGTGGAGAAAAAGTTGCCAAAGAAGTGTCAGGAATTTTTAAGTTGGCCACCAAGCATGAAGTTAAGCTCCCAGGAAAGGAGAATTAGTTGAGAGAGTCAATTTCTTCCAGAAATCTCCCAGAAACCCTTCCAGCATTCTCTGGATGGTTTGCAAGAAAGGTCAGTGCCTCAGGCTACTGCGGGGCACTTTTGTGCAGGTACTGCCCCTGAGGGCCAAGTCCAGCCGGCAACCTGTGCATGTCCCTCTAAGAAAGCACAGGTTTGTTTGTTTGCTTGCTTTTTAATGGTTGAGTAAACCAAAAGAAGAAGGATATTTTGTGACATGGGAAGTTCGTATTTTGCTGTCCATAAATAAAGTTTTATTGGAACGCAATCACATCCATTTACATACGGCCGGTGGCTGCTTCTGTGCTACAACAGGAGTCTCGACAGAGACTGGGTGGCCTACAGAGCCTAAAAGATTATCTGGCTCTTTACAGAAAAGTTTTGCTGCCCCTTGGGCTCGTGGGGTACAGATGTAGGCGATTTAACTGGGGGAGGAAAGAGAGCCTCAGCAGCAGAGATTAGGAAACCATGAAACTCAAGATGAAACTCAGCCCTAGAGCTGATCTGTGGTCTTCCTGGTGGGGGCGCCTTAGAGCTCAGATAGTGATGCTGTTCTCCGTGAGGCTGGGCTTCAGGTATTCATAGGGCAGGTCAAGTTGCTCATTCCGGGCTGCAATCTCCCTTTCCAGGTTTGCCAAATCTGTTTGGAATTGGTTTAGTGCAGCCTTGGCCTTGGCTTCTGAGAAATATTTTTCTTTGTGATGCCCCAAAGGCACCTAAGAAGGAACAAAAGATCAGTCGGTTTCCAGTTTGAAGGCAGCCGCACCTAGAGTCCAGCCCTTCGCTCTGATGTTTCCCTTCCAACTGTCATTTCCCTTTCCCCAGAGTCCTCTCTTACCATGTCTGGCTGGCGGCGACCCAGATGCCATGTGATGGCCATTTGAAGACAGGCCTTTTGGACATCAGGTAGTGAGCCCATCACTGTGGCCATTGTCACGTCTTCCTTGGTGGTGGGTGGGGGCATCCGCATTGTGCATGGGGCATTAGGGACCCAGGCATACCATTCCAGCTGGGGGAAGAAACTGCAGCCCTAGGACCCTGGTACTTGGGGTCTGAACCCCCATCTCTCCCTTGGGCATCCCAAGGTCCAGACACCTGTCTTCAGGGGCCTGGGCTTTTAGCTGTCCATACCTGGCCCTTGTTGATGGCCCCATGCTGAGCAGTGCATGTGAAGACACACATGGTAAGGAAATGGCAGAGTTGATTCTGGGACTGGAAGGACACAGGGAAACCTGGGTGGGAAGGGAACAGGATTTAGAGTTTATAGCCTGAGAGGAGAGAAAACGAGACCAATGTCTGGGATGCCTGCATTTTGGAATTGGTGGGTGCTTGCTTCTTTGGTCCTTTCTTCCAATAGATTTGCATCAGACTGAGTTTCAGTTCAGGCTCAAGTCAAATAGTTGGGTTACCTCGGGCCAATTACTGAACCTCCCTAAGCCTCAACTTCTTCAGCTGTGGAATGTGGAGCGCCCCCTACCTTATGCATGAGATAGTCACCTGGCATGGAGCAAGAGCTCAATAATTAATAATTATTGTTATCATGGAAGAGTGGGGACTGAAAAGTTCTGACTGATCAAAAATCCTCTGCGTCAAAAAGTGGCTGAGAAACTTGGGATGCCGCCTCCTATTTCCAGACAGGGAATTATGAATGTTTGAGTTATAACTTGAGGGATAAGAGAAGTCGTGGATTTATAGTGTCACAGCCAAGAGAGGCTTTCCACGAAGAATACGTCAGGCTACTCAGTTGACAGTGGAGGTCGGGGCTCAGAGACCCAATAATCCTGTCAGTCAAGTGGAACAAGTATAATCACTCCCCTGTTATTCATTTAAAAAAAAAATCAAAGACCAAAAATCAGGATCACGTAGTTGGGGAAAGGCAGTGGCTGACCTTGAACTGGGGTGCCTGACTGCTAATCTCAGGCTTTTTTATTTTAAAAAATTTATTATTTTTTGATGGAGGTAGTGGGGATTGAACCTTACTAAACGTGAGCTCTACCACTGAGCTATATTCCTCCCCCCCCCTTTTTTGGCTTTTAAAATTTTACAATATTTTCTCTAAAAAGTCTACTGGGAAAAATGAGGCAAAGGTGAGCTATAAGAACTGCAGGAGAGTAGAGGAGGAGGGGATGAGAGGCAGTTAGTTGAGGTTAAAGTTAACAGGCAGATGTTTATTTTCATCTTCCAAATGTAGATACTGGTTGGGGAAAAGATGGCTGGGGAGAGGAGGCAGGGTCTTCCGAGAGCATGTGGAGCTAAGGGACAGCACTGAGATGTACTGGAGAAAGTCTGGTCCTGGGAGGGTGGGGGGCAGTTTGCAGCCACTGACTCCGCAGGGAGACACCCCTCCAGAGGGCAGGTGTTGGTTAGCACTCACCACACCCCCAGAGGCTGGCCACAGTGGCTCCCCAGTAAATGTCTGTAGTTGTCCCACAGAGGCAGAGATGTTGGTGTGAAGTGTGAGGGGCAGGGACCAAAGGCGATGTACAGCAGGGACAGGCTGGCCCACGTGAGTTAGAGAGAGGAGGACAGACCTCAGAAGAGCTCAAGAAAGGCTGTTTCTTCCTCAGAGTTTAGAAGCAGGGGGCAGATGGTGGCTGGATTGGCCAAAGAAATGAGAGTCCCAAGGGGTAGGACACTGAGTTCAGGGTTGAGCCAAAGCACACAGAGCACTGAGTTTGCACCTAGAAATGACCTTGTGCTGTGGTGAGTGTGCAGGGTGCCTGGACCGTCTGTGTGATGAACAGGAGCAGAAGTGGGAGGAGCCAGGGAAGGCCATCATGGGCTTTGATGGGAATAAGCTCCCCATTTATATCCTTGGCTAGGAAACCGACAACCGTGAGGCGAGAATGTGAGCTCTGGCAGGACCCGGGCAGATCCCTGCCTGGCCGGGGTTCTGGCCCTGTTGGGCTCCACACTGTGACAGGCTGGGGGTAGGGGTGGAAGTGAGGGTTGATGACCAGGGTCTCCGAGAAGGGCGGCCCTTGGGTGTCTGTAACTGTAGTGAGTCTCCGGAGGTGGGAATGGGATTCAGGTGCTTCACGTGTGGAGGGAGACGGGGGTGCGGTGAAGGGTTGCCGTCCTGAACCCAGACGGACAAGGCTGAGAAGGAGCTCTGGGCAGAGGGTCCGAGGAGCCCCTGTCTCTGGGGAGGGGTCTCACCTCGGTCCTGGGCCCGGCACAGCCCCACCTCAGTGATCTCCTGACACCAGGCCTGCAGCTCAGGGTCCCCTCTCACGACATCGTCCCCGTGGTAGAAGAGCTGGATGATCCGCTCCACGTACCTGCCCAGGGGAGCGGGAGGTGAGCTGGTGGAGAGAAGGCTCTGACCTCTCCACTTTGCCGTGGCCTCTGCCCAGCTGACTCTCAGTGTCTGAGCGTAGATTGTTCAAGACCTGCCTTCTGGGTCATTCCAGCTCTTTCTACAAACTAGGTGAGAAAGGAAGGAAATGTGGGTCATCCGTTTTAGGAATTCCCTGTGCGTGGATGATAGCCATTCTTCCTGGCAAAAAACAAAACAAAACCCTGTTTTGTCCAGATCCCTCAGCCTCCCAGTCCACAGTTTCCTGACCGAGGCTTTCTGTCCCCCATCTCCTCCTTCTCGGACCTTACCCACTGACTCCTCACTCGTCCTCATCTCCCCCCAGGATGGAGTCTCTGCTCCTCCTGTCTGGACCCTCTTGTATTTAGACTCCTTTTGCCCCGTGCTGATGTCAGGCCAGAGCCCCACTCACCCTCTCCCCCAACCCCTCCATTTCTTGGCTCCCACTCTCACCCACCGGGCAGTGATGTCCCAGAGCCGTAAAGCATCGTGGGCGTAGTGAGCACCTGGGGTTCCCAGCAGCCCGCGTTCAGCCAGATCGTCAGGAGGACAGAGGGAGCAGTAGGTCAGCTGAGCCATGGCCCGGCGGAGCAAGTGCACGTGGCCCCCACCACCGGTGCTCACTACCTGGGACAAGAGAGATGTGAGACCTTGAGGAAGAAGCCAGAGCACAGTATTTAAGGGGTTCAAGTGTGGGATTTTCACATTTAAAGCTCTGGATATAAAGGGTCAGGACTTTCACACTGGTGGGTTGGGGATCTTGAAAGTGGCAGGAGACCGCAGACAGTTGGATGGTTGGCAACCCCCTGCCCATCATCTCCTTACCTTATCAAATACACCTCCATCTGAGATGAGTTGGGTCCGTGCCCGGGTGTTGATTTCCATAGTGTAGCGGATGTGTGGCATCAGAAACTGGGATGGAGGAGATTATGGGGGTGGTTAATGGTGGATCGTGCTTGGGTCCTTCCTTGCAGAGCACAGTGGCCTTCTCTCCTCTCCTCCCTTGACAGGCCGGTCTCCTGCTTCTGCGATCACTTTCATTCTCTTTACTCCCCTCTGAGTCAGGCTCTGGAGCAGACTGGCCTGGGTTCCACTACAGTTCAGCCCTCACTCTAATGCTCGTTCAGGGTCCTGGCTCTGACTCTTCTCCTGTCTAGCACCTCATCTGTCAGCAGCAGGTGATGATAGGGTCTTTTGTCTCGGGAGGCTGTGGTGTTTATGTGGGTGATGTGTGAGGAGTGTTTGGTGCACACAGAAGTCCTGGAGGAAGGGTCCTTGTTATTGTTTCCCTCTGGAGTGCAGGTTTCATGCAGTGTTGGTATCTATATGAGTTGCTGCTGGACACGGGATGAGCCAGCAATACCTCTGGTGCCAGGAGGTCAGAGCAGGTCACAGTGAACTGAAACTTCTCAGAAAGTTCATGAGGGGCGCTGAGTGTCATAGAAAGCCCGAAGTCCGCATGAGGAGAGAAGACACCTGAGGACAGACAACTCCGAATAACAGTAACAATCGCTGCAAGAACGGATGTTTTCACAGCTTTTAGCCTCTGTCACGCTGTTGTGTCATTTTATCCTTGAGCCACAGTGGAGCTCCTGTTGTCCCCACTTAGAGGGCAGGACACTGAGCTCACATCTGGTAAGTACAGAGGTCAGGATTCAGGATTCAGAGCTGGGCAGTCTGAGTCCCGAGCCTGCACACACCACCTCCAGGACACGTGCCGGCTGGGCTCTCCCCCGTGTACCGGTAACAGCTCAGCTGTTTGCCGTGCTGTTGCCATGGCAGTGGAGATGGGGCTTGGAGGGGACTGAAGGGGGAATTTAAGTGTGAATAGAGGCTGAGCCTGGTCAAGATGAGCGGAAGAGGGTGGTGCATGGCCCCCTAGAGATCAGTGAAATCCCAGATTCTGTCAGTTCCACTGGTCTCCATCTTTTCTGTGTCACCCAGGACTCCAGGAGGCCACAGCTACTACTGGCCAGGCTTGGAGGGTTGGGCAGAAACCCCACTGAAACACAGTTTCGTCGTTCTCCTGACCAGGTGCTCACTGGCATCTCTTGCCAACATTTCCGACTCCATGCACCCAAAATGGAGCACCTCATCTTTACTTCTCAACTGGCTGCTTCTCTTGGTTTCACTGTTTCTGATCATTGCTCTGGTTCCTCAACTTGTATCACTTTTGTCCCTCCTTTGCTTTGTTCCCTGTATCTAAAGTGCCGTCCAGATTTTGAGGACAGTTTGAAGCAAGCACAGGCTTTATGTGACTGCCTCTGCCTGGCAACAGATGCTGAACTCGGTCTTTCCTAAGCCCACAGGCTTTCCAGATCACTCCCGCACACCCACCCCTGGGCTCCTAGGAGGAGCTTAGACCTCTGACCTTTCTGTCTCCGTTCTGGCACGCAGGCATGCTGCAGCTGCTGTTACCCCCCTGCACCAGCCCTTTGATTTTTGTCCTTTTCATTCCTGTCGCCACCTTGCCAGTGCGTATCTTTCTCCATCTCTCTCTGGGGCAGGTTTAAACGGCCCGCTGGGCTCCTGTCCTTGCCTTTTGATCTGTTGCTACTTAGCAGACTCAGCTGGGGTGGAATTTGCTCCATCAACGCCCTAGTGTTTATAGGTGGTCTCTTGTGATTTCAGAGTCTAGTTCCAGATGATCTCTGGGTGGTTCTAATGGACACCGCTTGTCTTTCTGGCTAATAAATCTCCTAAGGCAGGAACAAGGCCTTTGTTTTCCTAGTAATCTGGCTAGGCCCATTGCTAGATCATCAGATCTCTGAGAATTTCAGAGGGCCATATTAATAATATGTTCTGAAGAAACGTTAAGTGACTCGACCTAATTAAAATCTGAGTCTCAACATATGGACTCTGTCTTCCTTCTCTTCTCCCCTCTTTCTCTCACAAGGTGACGTAAATTTTTTTTGATGCTGCAATATCATTTGCCACTGGGCGGTTTCCTTTCTCTGGGGTCTGACTCAAGAGGGATGTGGAGGGTGGAGGTTGTACCTTGAAGACAGGGTGCAGTCCCGGGAGGCACCTCATGGTGGCCACAGCGATGACCTCGGCCAGCAGATGAGTGTTCAGCAGATGATATTGGAGCTGATGCAGCTGGAAATCTGAATTTCGGACCCAGGACTTTGCCAGGAGCCAGGCAAGTGGAGGATCTGAGGGCAGGAAGAGTGGTGGGGTCGGGGAGCTGGGGCTGGGAGGCTGGAGCTGGGAAAGAGAAATGAAGCCGTCATAGAACTCTTGCTTTATGTGTGACGTTATGGTCAGCATTCTTGGGGAAACAGATGAGTATGTTGATTGCCATCAAAGAAGTTATAATCTTGTAGGAGGAATGAGGACTTTCCACCCTGTCTCTCCCTAGCTGTGGCACCGTGCGAGCGCCATGGTGGTCAGGTTGAATCAGGGAGAGTCAGAAGCAGGGCGTCCAGCGAGGAGATCCTGCCAGTGGTTTGGGAGAAACATGATGAGGGTTGAATTATGGTGGGAGGATGGAAGGGGAAGTGGGCTGTGTGAAATCATTGACCGTACTTTTTACCTAACTGTTGAGAACAGAAGAAGAAAAGGTAGATGGGTAGTTAGTGTCAGAGGTAACTGGGAGATTAAATCATGATGCTCAGTGTGTCCCCAAGCCAGCAGCATCAGCATCAGCATCGCTTGGGAATTTGTTAGAAATGCAAATTCTCAGTCCCCACTGCTGACCTACTGCATCAGAAAGTGTGTGGGGTGGGGGAAGTGGGGAGGACACCCAGCAACCTGTGTTTTAACAAGCCCTCTAGATGATTCTGAGGCACAGTAATGTCTGAGAGCCACTGGGTATATGAGGAGAACTCCAGAAGGCCTTTATGACTCTTGAACAAGTCCTTCCAGTTGGATGAGTCAAGGAGAAACTAGGCCACAAGCAGAGTGACATGAGGACAGGTCTCACTGCGTGAGGATGGAATTCAGGAGCCCAGAACCGGGGGGCTGTGTCCTTGGGAACAGAGGTTGAGGTGGTCAGAGAGCAGGGTTGGGAGGGGGATGCTCAGGGCGCCTCACCTGGATGACCATGGGAAGCAGTTTCCCATGGGGGTCCATCTTCAGCATGACGAGGGGGGCAGCCAGGTACTGCTTCTCTCCTTGGATCACATTGGCTGGAATTCCATCCAGGAGGATGAAATCCGCCTCAAACAGGGAACCATTCTGGGGAAAGGAGGAATGTATCCATCGTTAGAGTTCAAAGTCCACCACTAGAGGGCCTGGGCAAAGGGGGAAGACATCTAAAGACATTTAGCTTGCTTCTTGCTATCATCTTGTGTCAGTAGCAGAGTCCTGTCGGGAGCAGAGCAGCTGGCCCAGTTCCTCTCATTTTAGACAAGTGAAGAAACCGCCTAGTGAGGGCTGTGTAGTAGGAGATCTGGTTTTAGAACCAGGACTGCTGAGTCTGGTTTGCAAGCTGTCCCCTTGTCAAGATGGCCAGGCCCCTTACCCCCATTCCTCAATGATCTGCTCACTGGATTTGACTGTCATCAGTTCAGCCAGCACTCTCTGACTCCCTATCCAAACCTCACCTCCTCTGCCAAGTGATCCACAGAGGTTCCCCTGCCTACCACCACCATGGAGTCCAGCACACACGCACACAGACACACTCACGTCCCGCCCTGCTCATCTCTTCCAAACCCAGGTAACCTCCCCAGTTCTCTCTACCTGATGGTGCATTCTTTATCTTTCTTCCTGCCTGTGAACACTGGTGTCTGGAGCACCGATATCAGCCAGGGAAAGTCATCGTCCCTACTAACATCTCTGGCCCCATCTGTGCCCTGGGAATCCATCCTGGTTCCCCTCCACCCTGGGTGCTCCTTATAGTTTTCCCTTACATGCCTTATTATCTCTAGGTTTTTCCAGCACTGGACTCTGGACCAAGAGGCAGTGGATTCCCACAACCTCCTGACCCTGACTCAGCCTTGGTCCCTCCTCTTCACAACTGCTGGCCACACTGCCAAGGAGAGAACAAGGCAAAGGTGGGACGGGTACCTGGAGTTCTTTCTCCAGCTGGGCCCGTAGCTCCTCCATCCCCGAGGGCAGCACTAGCCGAGGGGGCAGAGCGGTGGAGCGTCTCAACAGCATGGGGTTGGCGCCATTGAGGAACTGGTAGCCAAAAAATTCATCCTCCTGCCAGCGCTGGCGAACGTTCTCTGTGGGGTCGGGGTGGAGTGGAGAAGGAAGACAGTACACAGTTGGGATATCCCCCTCCTCCAGGCCCTACCCCAGCGATCCAGCATATGACCAGCCCGTATCCAGCCCCTGCCTTTTCATCTTGGGGCCTCTGAGAAATGACCAAGCATAATATGTTCTCATCTGGGAAGTAGTTATGCGGGACTGTGAAGTGTGATGGTTGGGTCATCAAAAGGGGCCATCAGGGGGTTCTAGAGACCTGGGGGGACCACTGACCAGCCAGGGTACTCTTCTGGCCCCAGAAGATGTGATCAAAATCCTCCAGGCGGTTCCAGGAGCTCAGGAGGGTGTGCACACGTTTGAGGAGCATCTCCAGGGCCCTAGGACAGGTGTGGTGGCATGAACCCATTTGCTGATCCATCAGCCCCTCCCCATTTATCACCATTTTGGGGTCTCCCAGCCTTCTTTCCACTCTGAGCTCCAGGCTCTTCTCACCCCGCCTTTTGTGTCCATTCAAAGTCCAGCCTCTTCTCCTCATGGAATCTCATGTTTGAAGGTAGATCATCCTCACAGCCCGCAGCTATTGTCAGTGGTAAGCCTTCCTTCCAGGTGGCCCAGCTAGGAGACAGGGAGAAGGCTTCAGGGAGGGTGTCCAGGTCAGTGATGGGGGCAGGGTCAGGGAATGGGGGTACAACCAAGGGGCCCTGTAGGTGGGTGGTCACCAGTATATCTGATGTCTTTCTTTCAGTTCCTTCTCTCGATGTTTCTGGAACACGTCCAGCGCATTGTCTCCTGCCAGGCGGGCTGGGGAGACATGAAGATGATTGGCCACAGTTTGTGTGGTCCTGTGCCCCGCTACCTATCCTCATCTTCCTTTCCATAGTCATAGTCCATGTGTTCAGTCACGCTCTGTTGCTTTTATCCCTGGCCTTGCCTCACTGCATCAGTTCCCCAGACACATTTATCTTATCTTTGCCAACTTTGCACTCCTGCTTGTGCTAATCTCAGACCTCATCTCTTGCCTTGAGACAACAGTCTCATGTTTGACACCCTTTCTTGTCATTTAACTGTCTTTCCCTTCCTGATCTTATTTCATCAATATCTATGATTGGAAAAATCACCTTAATTAAGGTGATAACATCTTAATCACTCATATGCCTACACCTCTTCTCTACAGTATATTGCTTTGGTTAATTTCATGTGTCTTGAACCTCCCCTGCCGCACCTTGGCCATCCTCAAAAAGCTTTGAGGAGCTGTGTTTGCTTTCTGTTTCTGACTTCATTGTTCCAAGACTCACCAGCAAAGTCTATATTATCAACTTGTTCCTGCTCTTATCTGTACTTACACTTACCTGCCTCAAAGTGATAGATTTCACGTTTCCGTCATCACTGCCCTTGCCTCAGTTGCCTCCATAATCATCTCTCTTGTTTCCCCAACAAATTCTGAATTAGCTGTCATTCATCCCCGCCTCCTGTCAGCATGCTCCCTGTCCCTGACGGTTGTCTTCCATGTTTTCCCAACCAAACCAGCTCTCCAAGTCATATTATTTATTGTTTCCCTTAGCTGTGTCCTCGCAGGGGTCCTCCCCAGCCCCTATTCCATGTGCTAATCTTACCTGTCCTGCCCTAACTTCTTCCCAGTCCCATCCAGATCTCCTTCTCACTTTTACTTGGACTTCTCTGTTTTCCATCACTGCTTCAACGCCCATTCTATGTCCTCACCTTCTTGGAGGGTGGGAGCTACACACCACTTATGTCCCTATCCAGCCCCACTCGCAGCCTTTTTTAGTCTATGTATAAATTCGGTAGTTTATAACTTTCCCCCATTTCCTGTCTTCTTCGCACTTAACCTGCTGAACACCCACTTTTTTCAAGCCCCCCTGACTTTCCTCAGTCCTCCCCCCCACCTTCGTCAGCAGTTCCCCAGGCTCCGCACCGCCCACCACTGCCCCCACCGGTGCCCTCGGGCAGGCACAGGACGCCGTCGCCCTGCACCCAGCTGTAGCACGGGAAGGCGGCCTCCTCGCCGGCTCCAGGGCCCTGCACCGTGATGCGGTCGCAGAACCACGCGTCGTCCACCAGGGAGTGGTGTTTGCGCAGCTTCACGAACTGCAGCGGCCCCAAGTCGTCGGGAACGTCGTGCTCAAACTCCTCCTCCTGTGGGACCAGAACCCGGAGACTTTAGTGGCAGGGTCCTGGGAGAGGCCGTTTTGCCGGGAGTGAGGGTTGGGGGTCTGAGGCGGGGTGCGGACAGAAGAGGGGGGACCTTGGTGGCCTCCGTTGACAATGCCTCCAAAGACCTCGTTCCCTCCTCTGGACACCTGCGCGGTGGATTTTAGGCGCCCCATGGCACCAGGAGGACAAGGGAAGGCGGCGCGTGGCCCGCATTGTCTTGAATTGCTGCCTGAGCACCATCACTTCCATCCGTTCTTTAACTGAGCCATTCCCGTCTGCGCTCTCCCAGGAGCTTCCCATTTGACACTGATGCTATATTGACACTGGCCTGGGGTCATTTAGAGAGTCAGTTGGAGGCTGTGAAGACCAGGGTAACTGGGAAGGGAGAAGGGGGTGGCGTTCAGCCCGTCTCTGGCTCCCGACCCTCCTTCTCCTCGCCCCTCCTCGCCCAGGCGCAGGCATCCCAACACCTGGAAGTCCCAGCCAGTGCGGTCCAGCTGTCATTTAGCTCCTGGATCCCGCGCCTCGCCGGCCTCTCGCCTCTGGGCTGCCCTCCCACCGCGAGCCCAAGCCCGGGCCGGGGTGGGGGCCCCCGCTCCCGCCTGCTGACCTGGCCCCGCACCGGCCGCAGCTCCAGCTCCAGCTCCGTCTCCCCGTGCGCCCCGACCAGCCACAGCCGCACGCGGTTGTGCGACCCGGCGAAGAGCGAGGCCCCGGTGGCTACGCGGATGCAGTAGCGGCCCATGGCGGCCCTGGCGGCTTAGACGAGGGGAGTCGGGACGTGCGCGCTTCTTGGGGCCGCGGGCGGGTGTCGAGACGCCTTGGGGCCCGGGCCAGGCCCGGGCCTTTAAAGATGGGTCCGCGTCCCCGCCCTTCTCACGACTTGCTGGCGCTCTCAGTCCCCGCCCCAGACTAGCCCGAACCTGTGAGCGGCAGAGCCGGCTGTGGGGAAGGGCCGCGCCTCCGGATCCGGGCGGAGCTGCGGGAGATAAAGGGGCACCGGCCTCGGTGAGGCCGAGAGGATGGAATTGCCTGTGTTTCTCTGGACCTCCGAGGGAGCCTCGGGGTTGAGGGAGCAAGGCTGAGGACTTCCCGGGGTCCCCAGGCCTTTCGGAGAGCTAGGCGGAAGAGGAGGTGGGTCGGTCTTCCAATGGAGGGGAAAGTCTCTGCTTTTCTTGGCTGGGCCCCAGGGAGCACGCAGTGTCCTGCTGCTAGACCCGGTATGGCCAGTAGGTTTTCAGTTCCTGCTTTCGACCTCATTTGAGCCCAGTGTTTTAGTAAATGACCTGAGGTCCCCCAGGCTTCCTAGAACCGGAAAAGTAGCAGTTCAAAGACTTGCACCCCAGACCTCAACCTGCTTTCCAACATGGCTAGGTTAAGACCCCAGGCACACCAGATACAGGGGGAGGCCCCGCTGAGGCAGGGCAGTGAAAACCTTTTGTCCAACGTTCACAGTGGGTGCAGAGAATGTTAGGATCCAGGTGTCAGGGTACAGTGTGGAGTAACTTAGGGACACAGCATCCATGGACAGTTCCCCTGGACTTTGTTCCCTTCCAGGTGAACACAACCTCTTCCCCTTCCATATGTTCCAGGTTAATTTTTTATTTTTTAAAAGTTTAATTTTTTAAAATTGAAGTATAGTCAGTTTACAGTGTGTCAATTTCTGCAGTACAGCATAAATGTTTCAGTCATACTTATATATATTCGTGTTCATATTCTTTTTCACTGTAGTTTAATACAAGATATTAAATATAGTTCCCTGTTCTATACAGAAGAAATCAGGTTCATTTTTATTCTGGCCTTACTGACCCTGGTACCTGCTTCCCCCATCTGAAGCTTTTTTCAGTTTTCTTCTAAGAAATTAGATGCAAGGTTTTTATTAGTTATGAAGTTCTACCTCTTTCATCTTCTTTCTAGTCTTTATCCTGCTCCCCCCAGCTATTTCCTGGTCCTTTGTGGCTCTCTGGGCAGGAAACCAGGGAGCTATGGAGGGGCCAGTGCTGGTTAGGGACTT